AACATAGGAGATATTATTGTTTTCTGGTCTGAACCTGTGATTATTGGGGTAAGGAACTCTTGGTGAGTAAGCGTCATTAACTCATGAACTTAGAGTGGCCTGGAGATAATCAGAGAAGTTGGCAGCCAGGTGGCACAGTGGGTAGAGCACTGGATTTGGAATCAATAAGAACCATCTTCATGAGTTCAAATTGGGTCTCAGACAGTTGCTAGTTATTTGACTCTGGGCAAGTCATTTAAACCTGCTTGCCTCAGTTTCCTCACCTGTCAAATGAGCTGGAAAAGGAAATGGCAAACCACTCTAGTATCTTTACCAAGAAAACCCAAAAATGGGGTCATGAAGAGTTAAACACAACTGAAACAACTGGGAAACATCATAAGCAGAGAGGTTAAGTGGCTTTCCTAGGGTCAAATAGCTAGTTTATGTCAGAGGTAGGATGAATTTAGGATTAGTTCAAACTCAAGTCTTCCCAGCCCTGAGGTTGGCTCTCTACCCACTAGACTGGAGGTTCTCAAAGTGTTGTCCAGAGATCCTAGAGGTCTCAGAGAGAGGAAAGGAGAACTTTTTAGGAAATCCACAGATTCAAAACTATTTTCATAATACTAAGAAGATTTGATGTCCAAAATGTAAAATTCTGGTAAATATGGTAGTACTATCCCTATGGCCTTTCTACCAAAGATGGGAGGGTAACTAGGCTTAGGGTGATCAAACCTAACTCCAGAGAAAAACTCTAGGATTGATCCTCATGGAACTAGTAATTAGTCATTGCCTCTCTGGTTCAGTCTGTTAGCCCACTGCCTGTTGTTTATTGGGGATGTAGCTTAAAATAAGCCAGCCCTGCTCAGATGCCCTGGTCGATCAGAACGAGACACTTCTGAAGGATAGAGGCCAAATATTTTAAGCTATTGCTCTGATTAGAATGTGAGTTTCTTGAGAGTAGGAATTGCCTTTTGCCTTTCTTTGTACCTTGGCCCTTAGCACAGTGCCTGGCACATAGTAGGCACTGAAATGCATGTCGACTGACTGATGTATATAGCCTGCGTAATCTCAACTTAGCAGAAAATGACAGTTTTTTAAGGCTCACAAGTTTATTTTAATGGACTGGTCATGTGGATTCACTTGTGGACATAGGGAAGTCTAGAATAAAATGCTCAAAAGCAAAATATCCAAGTTTTCCATGTCTGTGAATTACATTGAACTTAAGTGGTGATCAGAAAGGTATCCAGTTTGTCATGTATATCATAGGCAGTTGGTTTTCTTTTTTTTTTTAATAATATTCCCCCCCCCCAATTATATGTAAAGACATTTTGAAATGTTTTTGAGTTCCAAATTTTTCTCCTCCATCCCTGTTCTCCTTCTTCCTTAAGATGGTAAGCAAGTTGATACAAGTTATATATGTGCAGTCACGTAAGATATATTTCTATATATGTCATTCTTGTGAAAGAAGAAAGAGACCAGAAGAAAAAAAAATACAAAAAAGTGAAAAATAGTATGCTTCAATCTGCATTCAGACTTCATCAATTCTTCCTCTGGAGATGGATAGCATTTTCCATTATAAGTCCTTAGGAACTATCTTGAATCATTGTATTGCTGAGAAGAAGTCATTCCCAGCTGATCATTGTGCAATATTGCTGTATACAGTGGTATACAATGTTTTCCTGGTTCAGGCGGTAGACTGTCTGCCCATGCGTGGGCAGTGGCTACACCCTGGTAAAACCATGTTGGTAGACAGTCTAAGCTCTTCTGAGGGCAGGCAACAGTCCTTAAACCTGTCAGTGAGTTGGGGGATGCCTATTCCAAGCATGTGAAGACTTCCTCCTGCAGAGTGGGCAGATGAGAACAATGTGTCCCAACGACCATAAAGAAGCAGGCACCGTGGGGCCCTTAGAGCTTGGTCAGATAGCAAAGACATCAAAGTCATCTACTGCATCCTTGGCCGTCACCAGTTGTCTTGCCACTGAACTCTGATGACCCTGGAGGAAAGAGTGAGGTTGCTGACTTTGTGCACCTCTGCCTCACTTAAATCCAATTTAATCCAAGGCACTGTGCTCTATGAATGAAGCAGAATTGCAGCAGCTCAAAAGAGACGTGAGAGGTGCAAATTCAGAGACATCTCCGCTCCAAATGTTCATATGGACTATTTGTGCCTGACCTGTGGTAGAGCCTTCGGAGCTCACATTGATCTGATCAGCCATGGCTGGACACACTGTGCCCTGACTCCAACACAGTGATGTCACTTTGGTCCTCTTTGAGAATGAAGGGCACCAATCGACCAAGTCCAACTCACTCTCAAGTTAAGACATCGATAAAAAGGGATGTCATTCATCTTCTTGGGTAAACGAAGGACACACGACAATTTGTGGAGTAAATTGCTTCTTCCTGATTTGATATTTGAATGAGGTAAGGATAGGAATAGGGAGCAGATGTGTGATTTCATTGATACAGCAAACTCTCTGGTGAGGAAACTCCCCTCTGCAAAGCAGTGTGGCACCTTCTCTGCAGTTTCTAGTATCAGAGAGTTACTGAGAGCACAGAGAGGTTAAGTAATTTGCTCAGAGTCACACACCTGGCATGAGTCCCGGGTGGAGCTTGGAAGTAGGTTTTCCCGGCCCCAAAATCAGCTCTTTCTCCACTCTACTACACTGCCTTTAATTGAGGTGAGTGATCTTACAGGACTAGAAGCACTGAAGCTTCTCTCCTTCAGCCACCACAGTCCTGAGTTCAGTTATGGTGCGGATTCTTTTATGGATGTTCACAAAATGACCCTTGTATTGCTAGTGATGAGAACTGTCTTGTTATTCCTGGATGCACTAAGTGTTTTTCTATTAGACTTAGAAACAGATCTGAACCATGGGGACCATGGAGAACCTCAGCAAATAATTTTTCAGATGAGGAAATCAGGGACAGGAGAGGTCAGTGTAGGAAGGCTGGAGGTTTACAAGAAGCAGCTCTGGGGGCCTGATCCTAGAAATGGCCTCCTAAGTCAGGGAGCCAATGGGCAGAAAAGAACTGAAAAAGAACACGGAGACTCAGACCTCCAGGGAAGAGATGGCTGCTCTGCAAGAACTGTGGCTGCCTAAAACTCTTGGGAAATCTTTTGGGGGACCAGAGAGGGAATGATGGTCCATGGGATCATTGGCTTTAAAACTCTAGAAGAGGCATCCAGTGGCATCGTGTCCAGTTTTCTTATTGTAGAGATGAGGGAATGGAGGTCTATGGGAGTTAAGTGACTTGACCAAGGCAACCAGACAGTAAGTGACAGGCTAGGTTTTCAGACTCCAATTCCTCAGACGCCAAATCTGGTCATTTTCTGCTATAACGCACTGCCTCTTTTTTTTTTTTACCCTTTTGAGTCAGGGGCCCATCATCCCAAGGTAAGATGGAGAAACAGATTCAAAAAGAGGGGGCCAATCCTAGCAGTCTAACCCACACAGACCACTTGGGCTAGGAGCCTGAGAGCTGGATCCCACACCCAACCAGAGAAGTGTGGACCAGACTAACTCCAGGGAAAATGAAACAAAGAAGGTTGGATAGTGAAGAGGGTAGAGATGAAGGCCAGGCTTCCATTTATGTTTTATTGAAGACTAGGATTTACTCCTAATTCCTTCCACTCTTTATTATTAAAAACCCACTGCCTCTAGAGTTTCCATTAGAAAAAGGGACTGGACCTGTAATCTCACTGTAAGAAGGTACTGCTGCAGGAAGAAACTCTATCTCCCAATGCATGTCAGCACCTTCTCTGTGGTTTATAATCTTAGACTCACCTGGCTTGCTGAGGGGTTAGGTGACTTGCTTTGGGTGATGTCTTGACTTGCATGTGAATTGGACTTAAGTGAGGCAGAGTTGTGCAGTCTAGAGCCTCACTCTCTCTTCCACAGTCATCAAAGTCCAGTGGCAAGACAAAGGGCCAGATGAGTGGCGATGCCGAAGGATGCAGTGGATGACCTTGGCGTCTTCAGTGTCTGACCAAGCTCTAAGTGCTCCATGGCGCCTACTGCAGCCACCTTCATGGCTGCTGGAACAAACTGTCCTTGTCCTCCATTCTTCTGGGAAACGTCTTCACATGCTTGGAGTAGACATGGCCCTAACTCACAGATGGGTCTGAGGCCCACTGGCTCCCCTCAATCTGGTTTAGCCTGTCTGCCAAGACAGTTGTACTGGGGCGTGGCTGCTGAGCATGCTTCAGCTTCTTGAAGCCACAGGTGAAAACCACAGGAGTAAATAGAGAAGAGTAATCAGTGTCTCCTCCCCATATTTCCCTACCATGTGCCAGCAAATGTTGTTTTAAATGAGCGATTTTGTGGTTAGTTAGCAACCACACTGGCAGGGGAGGTGGGAGAAAAGTGAAGAATTTAAATGACATTGATGAAGAATAATTTCTAGACCTGGCCAAACAGCTCCATGTTGGCTCCGCTATTATTCTAAAGTGACAGTGTTGTAGCAGCTCATGGGAATCCCCCAACAAAAATCTCTTCTTTCCCACTTTTGTTTCCCCTTCTTTTGCACTATCAGGACAGATTCCATCTCTGAGGTATGTTAGCGGGCTAACCAGTTTTCCTTTTCTAGGGCAGTGATGAGTGGAGAAGCAACATGCGATGTGTTTCCTGTCCTCCAGCACCTAGTTTGGGACCGTAACTACTTGAGGGAGGGAGGCCAGAAGAAGGGGGCAAAGTCTGACCTGCCCCATGGCTTATTCATTGTTTTTATAGAAATAGGGGGCTGCTCTTATGGCCTTGGTTAGATTCTTTAGAACATTGATCTGTAAATTTCCAAGAGTCCAAGGGTTTATCTCTCTGCATACATTCTAATTAGTATATAAGGAGCCTTATGGCAAAATAATTCAATTCAATAAGCATTTATCAAGTGCCCCTGCACTCAAGGAGCCTACACTCTATTGGGGGAAGACAGTACACAGAAGGAAGTTGAAAAGCCACTGGAGGTACCCAGTGGTCCATGAAGTTGAAACCAAGCAAAGCAGCTGATGGAAAAAGGAGCGTTACCTGGAAAATTCAGATCCTAGACCTCTATACAGGAAGGCTTTGTGAGGAGTTTAGTGTCCAGTCAGAGGGTAAAGACGATTGAGGGAGCTGGGAAGATGTTGATTATGAAAGGCTGAGTTAAAGAGCATGGTCCTGAGATTCCAGGTGACCAGCTTCTCCTGGGTGGGGCAATGATGGTGCCTGTGAAGAATGGAGAGTTACCAAAGACAAAGCCAAAAAACAAAGAACAAAGGTGTCACTGGGTTCGTTCATGGCTTGAATTTAGGACAAGGGATTTCTCCTGAGCCATTTCCCAGACTCTACAGCATATTATGGGTAGATAGAGCATTTACACTGTGAATACAAATATAAAGAAGCAAGATCCTTAAAGAGATTATATATTAATGGGGAAGACATTCCATGAAGGGGAGCTGGAAAGAATGGAAACAAGTCACATTCAGAGATCACTAACTCCCTGTGAAGATATCCAAGAAGTGAGCACATAGGGGGACCATTCTGTATATCCTATGAATGTCATTATTGTTTTGGTCTTATTTGCTTATATGCATGTTTATTTGTGTTATATGGGTCTACATGCACTGTGGAGGCAGATGAATATAACATAGCCAACGTGAAATTCAGACCTCCAATCAGCAAAGCAGCTTTTCAAGTGATGCTTTGCATGGGACTCAGTCCTTTGCATGTATTATTGATGTGTGTGTGCTGTGAATGGCATTGTAAAGTGATTACCTGGGACATAAAGTTAATCATCCTGGTTCTGTTAAATGCTAATATAATTTGATGCCCTACTGTATAAATCCAGATATCAAGTGACCAAAGCCATCTTAACAGGAGGCTGCAAAATTCCAAACCCCAGAGAAAAATGTAATAGGAGTTTCCAAACTGGTGGGCATCCTGGGAGCTGTAATTCAGAGGAACAAGCATTCCCCTTTCAGTACCCAAAGCCATTTGGGACTACTGTCAACTTTGAGCAGAGAGACAACATTGCCTCAGGAGCCTGAGTTCCCAAAGGGATGCGTACAATCTTTAAGCCAAAGACTAAAAGAAAGGAGTGTGGGCCTCAAGACCTGAGCAGTCAGAACAATAGGGAAGGACCTCTCAAGTGCCACCCAGGACTTAATGAATTGAGTTGGAAAGATTTGGTGGCATGGGGCAACACGGGAAAGGAAGAAGCAAAAGGTGGTCCATTGGACTTTTCCTATGGGCATTTTGGAGTAGAAGACTCAAGCAGAAGGCATGAGGGGTGTTTCCCTCCAAATTCCAACAAAAATGTCTGTTTTTCTCCAACTTCCCATTCCTTGTCTATCTAGTGTCAGGGATACACATAAATTTAAACTAGTGTGGTGAACCAAACCTCTGCCCAAATGTTAGGCATTTTCCTAACTGGCAGCTCAGAGCTGATGTAATTTTGGTACCAATTCTTTATGTGATATTGGACCCTAGAAAGCACCAGTGGGGTGTTCTCCATGACCTGATAGGCCATTATATTGCCCCTATGCCAAAAATAACACCCCCAAAGAAGCTAATTGTTGTAACTGGGTGTGAGAGATAGGAAGGAAAGGGTGGTTAGTCAGCCGAGTGTATCCTATGCAACATCCACAACCATTGGTGATGTGTTATAAGCCCAAAACAGGCTAAGCGTGCCCGTGGTTCTTTTGTTCAGTACTGGAGTCTCTTTCATCTAGGAATCAGACCAGAAAAACACAGTTGGTTGTTTTTTTTTAATATAGAACTAGATTAAACCCTATAGCACACTTTGACTGTGTTGGACGGTGTGTGAAGCATCCAGCCTTCCTGTTTCCTTACCTGTTCAAGGAAAGGAGGGAGGTGAACTTTGTCCTCTTTTGTCCGGGCCCAGGCCTGGTCACTACAATTGTATGTCTGGCTTTATTCTCCCGTACTTTGCATTACTGCAGTCAGAGAGGGTATTTTTCTGATTCTGATGACTTCACGCTGTGTCACTTCATAGATGTCTTCCCGGATCTTTCTGAAATTCTCACCTTCACCATTTATAGCACTACAATGTTATGTTACAATTACAGGTCATGACTTGTTCAGCTGCTCTCCAATTGATGAACGCTCACTTTGTTTCCGGGCTTGTTTCGCAATCGTGGAAAACCCTGCTGTGAGTATCTTGCTATCTGTGGCCCCTTTCTTTCTTTGACCCCCTTTGGATATAGGCCCAATGGCAGGTCAAGAAGTGTGAGTAGTTTAGTGACTTTTCTCACATAATTAAAATTGTTTCCCAGAATGGTTGGATCGCTTCCCAGACTCATCGACAATATAGTTGTGTGACCGTCTTATGACAACTCCTCTAACATTGTTTCTGTCTTTTCGTTATCATTTGTCAGGTTGTTGGATGTGAGGTGAAACTTCAGAGTTGTCTTAATTTGCTGTATGCTTATTAGTGGTGGAACAATCTTTCATGTGGTTTTTTGATCATTTAAAATTCTTCTTTTAGGAATAATAAGTTTGGGCCCAGACATATGAGAAAACACCTAACTCTCTCTCCCCCTACCCCAACCAGTTCTTTGGAGAGGTAGAGATGGTCATCCGCACATATGTAACACTTTATGTAATGTCAGAAATTTTCAATGTACAGATTGATTTTGCTGATTTTTTCTTCTTCCATTCTTTTTTAAAAAATGCTTTATTATAAAGGATGGCCCTCCAGTGGAGGTAAGGGGTAGGGTTGCAGGGGGAAATATAGGCTATGTGAAAACAAAATATATCAATAAAAAGATGTTTAAGAAAGAAAACTTCATGTCCTTCAACCACTTATCTATTGGGGAATGGCTCTTGGTCTCATATATTTGTGTTAATTCCCTTTATATCTTGGCTATCAGACTTTTATCACAGATATTGGATGCAAAGACTTTCCCCCAGGTGGGAGAAACTTGTATTGATTTAGTTTGTGAAAAAACTTTTGAGTTTATGTAGTCAAAATTGCCTATTTTTTCTTTTTATAATCTCTTCTAAACTATATTTTGTTAAGACTTCTTAACTGCAGGAATGAAAAGTTATGTATCTCCATTGTCGTCTAATTTTATTTTTTTGTTCCCGTTTGACTGATTCTTGCTCTCTCATAGAGTCCTTAGTTTCCGTTTGTCCAATTCTAGTTTTTAACAGATTGTTTTCTTCTGTTAGTTTTTGTACTTCCTTCTCCAATTGGCCAATTGTATTTTTAAGGGATTTATTTTCTTCAGTGTACTTTTTTCCAGGTGGCCAACTGTGTGTTTTAGGAACTTGTTTTCTTCAGCATACTTTTTTTCCAATTGGCCAATTGTATTTTTAAAGGACTCTTCTACCTCTCTCATTTGACTTTTAAAATCCTTCTTGAGCTCTTCTAAGAAGGCTTTTTGGGCTTCAGACCAGTTCATATTCCCTTTTGATGTTGCAGGTGTGGGTTTGTTGACAATGTTGCCCTCTTCAGAATTTCTTTCTTGATCTTCACTCTTCTTATAATATGAATCTATGGTATGTTTCGTTTTACTTATGGTTTCTTTATTCCCTGGCCTTTAAAGAGATTGAGCTCTCCTGCTGGGGAACAGAGGGCACTGACCTAAGCTTCTTGTATTGGGAGCCTAGGTCTTGGTCACTGGCTTTGTGTTCTGGGGCCTCTTATGTTGGCAATTGGAGGCTGTAGGATTCTGGCAGCTTACCTGGTGTTGGGCTGGAATCAACAAGGCTGGAACTTTTAGGCGATTCTAGGTTGCCTGCTTTTCCTTTCCTTTAGCTTTCTTCAGCTTCTTTTAGATGGCTGCTGCAGGGTGTTTATCTGCCTGGGGACCCTTGCAGTGCTGCCCCCCCCTTAGTTCTGCTGAGGCACTGGGAGGCTCCTTTGCTGTAGAATGCCGAGGCACCTGGTGGTTTTCTGAACTGGTTTCCACTGGTTCCCCAGCCCTCACCGAGGCACTCGGAAGTCCAAGTGTTGGTGTTTGCTTGCTCTACTACCTGGGCTTCAGGATCTCCTCCTGGTTGGCATTTGGAGGCTGTAGGGTTCTGACAGCTTACCTGGTATTGGGCTGGAATGAGCAAGGCTAGAACTTTAGGAAGACTCTATGTTGCTTTCTTCAGCTCCTTTCAGATGCATGCTGCAGGGTGTTTGTCTGCCTGGGGCCTTTTGTAGTGCTGCTTCCCTTATTTTTGCTGAGGCACTGGGAGACCCATTTGCTGTAGAATGCCAAGGCCCCAGTATCTCCTCCTGGTGTGCTAAAGTGTGGCTTTCCACTAGCTGGCTGGGGCGCCTCCCGTTCCCCCAGGGTAAGAGGGGCCTTTCCCGTTAATCCTTCAAGCTTCCTGCCCTACTGCACTGCTGCTCCCCATCTTTCTTCTGGTTCAGCAGTTCCAGGGTTTTTTCTGGGGTGATATTTTCTGGGCTTTCAGAAGTTAATAGGGGAAGGTGAGAGCGATTACCTTTTTCCTCTGCCATCTTGGCTCCCATTGTCCTCTAATTTTAAAAAAGGCAATATCACTTTTAGCATTTTGATGATGTATCTCTTTGCTTTCAGAATGTCTCTGAAGTGCAACATGTCAGTATGATGGTGCAGTAAACCTGGGGAATTCTTCTTCCATTTCTCTAAAAGTTCCTATTAAATTGATATCCAACCCTAAACTTTTGAGTACATTTTCGGGTTTTTGAAACACTGCGCTACTGAATTCAATTGCTTCTAATTCAGGATTATCTATTCTGTTCTGAAGATATATTTTTCAGTTTTTTTTTAAACCAGTGCTAAATAGTTTTGATGATTACTGCTTTATAACGTTGTTTAAGGTCTGGAAGTAACAATCCCCCAATAACTTATAATCTCCTGCCCCACCCCACTCCCATTATTCTCCTAGAAATCTAAAACTGTTGCTTTCCACATTAATTTTAGCATTACTTTTAAAAAATTTGGTTATAGTTATTAGTCAATGATTTGTTGATGATTTTATTGATTATTGATTTTGTTTTTACATCACCTTCATTTTCAAATATGCCCCTCCCCTTGACCCTTCTACTACAGTGAGCTATCTGTTGTAAAAAAGCAGTACAAAAAAACAAACAGACGTATCAAATTATGGCTGAGTATATTCAAAGCTCTCTTGCTGTATAGTCTCCTATCTCTGAAAAAAAGAGAATTTTTTTTCTTACCTCTTCTTTGAGACCAAATTTGTTCATTATGATTATACAGGATTCAGTTTTCAAAAATATTTTTCCAATTATATGTAAAAACAGTTTTTATATTTGTTTTTTTTTTGAGTTCCGAATTCTCTCCCTCCTTCCTTTTCCTTCCACCTTCATTGAGAAAACTACCAATTTGATATAGGTTATAAACACGCAGTCATGCAAAACTTATTTCCACGTTGGTCATGTTGTAAAAGAAAACACAGACCCCCCAAAAAAAACCCTAAAAAAAAAGTATGCTTTGATTTGCATTCAGACTCCATAGTGCTTTCTTTGGATGTGAATAGCATTTTCCATCATGAGTCCTTCGGAATTATTTTGGATCATTGTATTGCTGAGGATAGCTAAGACATTCACAGTGGCTTATCTTACAATATTGCTGTTACTGTGCACAATGTTCTCCTGGTTCTGTTCACTTCACTTTGCATCAGTTCATGTAAGTCTTTCCAGGTTTTTCTGAAAGCATCTTGCCCATTATTTCTTATAGCATGATATTATTTCACCACAATCACATACTACAACTTGTTTAGCCTTTCCCCAATTGAAGGGCATCCCTTAAATTTTTAATTCTTTGCCACTACAAAAATAGATGCTATAAATAATTTTTTACATAGAAGTCTTTTCCCCTTTTTAAAAAATATCATTGTAATGTAGGTCAAAGTGTATGCACAATTTTATAGCCCTTTGGGCATAGTTCCAAGTTGTTCTCCAGAATGGTTGGGCTAGTTTACAACTCCAACAACAGGGCATTAATGTTCTAATTTTTCCACACTACCTTTAGTATTTGTCATTTTCCTTTCTTGTTATATTAGCTAATCTGATATGTGTGAGGTGGTACCTCAGAGTTGTTTTAATTTGCATTTTTCTAATCAACAGTGATTTAGAGCATTTATTCATATGACTATAGATAACTTTAAGTTCTTCATCTGAGAACTGCCTGTTCATATCCTTTGACTGTTTATCAATTGGGGAATGACCTGTATTCTTATAAATTTGACTTCATTATCTATATATGTGATAAATGAGGCTTTTATCAGAGAAACTTGCCATAAACATTTCCCCCAATTTTCTGCTTTCCTTTCAATCTTGGCTAATTGGCTTTGTTTATGCAAAATCTTTTAAATTTAATATAATCAAAATAATTTATTTTATATCTCATAATGCCCCCTATCTCTTTTCTTGGTTATAAATTCATATCCATAGATTTGACAGGTAAACTATTCCATGCTCCACTAAGTAGCTTATGGTATCACTCTTCATGTCTAAATCATGTAATGCACTCTGCTATCTGCTTCTGTTTTATGGATGAGTTCATCTCATTCAGATTCACAGTTATGATCACTAACTGTATATTTCCCTCCATCCTACTTTTCCCCCTTGTTTCTCTCTCTCTCTCCTTTTCTCTCTCTCTCTCCCCTATTTCCTTTCACTCTTTCCCTCATCAAAAGTGTTTTCCTTCTGACCACCACCTCCCCCATTTGCCCTCCCTTTTATCAGACCCCCTTCTTTCCCTTCCTATTTCCCTATAGGGCAAGATAGATTTCTATACCCAACTGTGTATGTTATTCCCTCTTTGAACCAATTCTTTTTTTTCCCTTCTTTTTGGTGAGGCAATCAAAATCAATTTGAACCAATTCTGATGAGATTAAGGTTTAAGTGTTGCTCCCTTCCCCATTTTCCCCTCCATTATAAAAGCACTTTTGTGCCTTTTTTATGTGAAATAATTTACCCCACTCTGCCTCTCCCTTTCCTCTTCTCCCAGTGCATCCCATATT